TAAAAAATTATATCAACTATCAACGAACTTAACCAACACATAAAGTCAATCCATTTAAAATTAATCTTAGGTAGATTTAGTAAATCTCATTAAAATCATAGTCGTTCATCTATGTCCTTCACATGACACTAATGGTTATCTACTTATGACCATTTTTAACTTTCTTTATAATTGATATTACAAGTTCGAGCTTAGATGACTCTTTAATGTGTGATTCTATTATGTTTGTTACTTTGGTTGTCATGAAAGTATATATCTTTGATTTGTTTCTAAACTTTGTTGTGTATTTATTATCTGTTCATACATGCAATTTACATAAAATATACTACGTATATCATTTTTATATTGTTTATATTGTTACGTTTACTTTAATTATTGTTGTTTTAAATGATAATTTTATTTAAATTTTAACAAAAAATATAGGACCCGTCATCAGATGAATATACAAGATATTTTTTGAATCTTTCACCCTATGCTACTTCACCCGATAGAGGTGTAAATGTAACTGAGGTAATTACTTACGCATATAAATAATTAATTAAATTTTATATTGATTCTAAAATACAAAAGTCATGTTCTTTTCATGTTATTTTCCTGAACTATTTTTTTTAATAATTATTTTTAGTAACTTTGAATAAAATGAAAAACCTATTACAGGATACTCTCGACCAAACAAATGATGATTCCCTAAATACAATACTTATGGCGTTCGAGTCCGCAATGAATAATCAAATTGTTCAATCATCTACGGCATCTGTTGAATTTGCTACTAATGTTGCCACAACAACTAAAGTGGTAATATATACTTCTAATGTTAAGTTGTTGTATAGATTAATTACAGACTATGATTACAAAATTTTAATAACTTTAATTTGTTTTTACAAAATATTATTGTAGAATGATGAAGATGATGCCTTAACTGCGACACTTGTGGAAATGAGGGCCACAAGGGCGAATAATGTTGAATCATCTAATGAAACTGTCGAAGTTGCTACTAATCTCTCTGTAGCATCAATGGTAATACTTTTATCGTTAAATTGCGTAGGTCATGCACCAAAAAATGAAGTAAATATTCTCACAAATTATACTTTAAAGTCGTACATAATAATTAACAGAGGTGGTATAAAAAAATTATTGCAGGATACCGTCGCTCAAATAGATGCTGAGGCCCTAAGTATGGCACTTGTGGCGATTGGGACGACAATGCACCAAGATGGTATACAACCTCAAGTTACTACTAATGTTGCAAGAACTGAAGTGGTAATGCATAATTTTAGCTTTACATCACAAGCCTTATTTCAATTAATTTGCTACTAAATAGTATAATAGTTTAGGTCATTATGCAGTAATACTATTTATTCATTACAGGAGATGATAAATGGTTTGACTAAAGTTAATAATTTTGTGAGAAATCTTGTTGATGAGCCCAGAACACTAGATATGTTGGCTACTGCTGCTCAAAACTCAGCCGTGGATAATGAGGTAAAATGTTGATAGATTATATAAATCAATCAATATTGTCGAGTTATTGTGTATATGTGTGTACCTTGTTCGTTAATAAATCATCAATTTGTCTAAATATCTTACTTTTAATGAAGTGGATGGATGAGTAAAATACCCAAATTTCATTATTAAAGTAAATCGTAAAAAATTAGGTTACTATATAGAAGGTAATACGAATGGGATAATAAAACTAATAATGTGAAACTAGGAAATCTACGTCTATTAGTATTTGACTAATTAAGCTTAATTTTGTATACTAAAAATATAGTATTTTAATCCAATATCTCAAAATAATATACGTTTTTCATGCGATCTAAAACTTGATTTTTACTTAAGAAAAAATAATTACACGTATCTTATAACCTATCTCTCAACTTTTGATATTAGGGTAAAAATATAATGGTAGCACTATATGGATCGGAGTAAAACATTACTAATTGGGCATTTTTAGGGTTGTTTATTATTATTATTATTATTTTTTGAAAGATGGGCATTTGTTGAATAAGTACGTCTTTTATGAAATTTGAGTAGACTTTACGATATACTTCATATTAAATGCTCACTATAGGATACATGCATCAAAAGTTATATTGGTAAAACCAAATAAGAGGTTTAAGGGAATTATGGTAAATTATTAGATTAGTGTATTTTGCATGTACATAGTAAGAATAAAAAATCTATCACACAATTTTAGCTATGTTTTAGAGTATATATATGCATGTGATGACACAACTTTAAACTATGAATGTAAAAGAGACATAGTACCAAAATTATTACCTAGTCCATTTTTGTTTATTTCATTATTGAGGAATGATAGATTTTGATAAGAGTATTTATAATCAAATCAAATTTTAATTAATTCATGTAGAAATACACATGATTTATTATATTATGGCAAGTAAAAAAAGATTAAGTTATTGTAATATGTAAGTATTATTGGTTGAAGATCCATGCATTACTCTTCTTCTTCTTCTTCCTTTTTTTCTTTCATTTCCAAATTGTTTAATTTTTTGTGATATACTATGTGTGGGTCTATGTGCATTGATGTATAATGATATCAAAGGATGTTTATTACGATTTAATTTATTTTATTATTTCTCACTTTTTTTAATTCATTTTCAAATAAATGATGAACATTTTGCAGACTCTGATGGTTTTTGACATTAAGCAAAGAAGAATGTCAAGGCTTACACTAGATGAATGATTAAAAAATTGGTTGATAACAATGTATGTCCGAAATGACAAAATAAGGATCGATAAGGTATGAAAAAGTTCTTACTTTGCTTTCAAGAGATATACATATTATAGTTTGTACCCAAGTTTATATTACTATATTGTACCTTGCTTTGCAGTTCTATACTCATTTATGGTCCAGCCAACAATTTAGGTCTCTAAATGAAGTTGATGACTTCATTCGCCTTGGCTACCTTCCAAAGAGGCCTGAGAAGGAGGCAAAACCAGTTGATAATGTACGCTTTATCTTAGTATGTTTATTTCTATTAATTAAGTTTTTACATGTTTTTTTTGGTATGATTGAATTGGTATTATTTATAATTTTTGTACTATTTTCTTATGTAGTCTGCGGAAGCGAGCACTTCAAGGGGGAAACGCTCAACCCAGAAGAAGTTAAACTGGGAATTTAGGTTTACTGGAAAAATCTCTAATGGTGAAAATGTTATCTATGATATCCATTTTCTTGATTCTAGTTCCAACACAGATCCAAACAGTGTAAGTGCTTTTTTTTTGTAGTCTTATATAATGCGGAGTATACATATTATAATTTCTATATTGTTCTTTTTTTTTTTGAAGTCACGCGGCTTTAGGGTCAATGAAGAAATATTTTTCTCAAGTGGAGGAAAGACAAATGATCCTGAAAATCACCGCCGTAAGAGAAGGAAGACGATAGAGCTCACTCTTAAGGAAAGGGTGGAGTCTTTTTTAGATGAAGCAAATCTGAATCTCCTTAATAATGGAAACAACAATGAGGACCGGGATGACAAAGGAAAATGCAGCAAGAGGAAAACGTATGAAGATTAAAGATGGCTTGAGAAGTACACCAGAGATCCTTCATTAATTCGAATCAATTGAACTTATATAATACTAAGAATTTATGATATCCTTTTGAAGTAGGGATTTTTTAAAGGTTTACTTTGATGTATTTTGACACTAATTTCTTGTTGTTTTGAACTACTTTTCTTAAAGTTTATTTATTTTTACTAATTAAAACTTATTTCATCCATGATAAATAGAAGGTCAAAAGCATCACAAGTTTGATAGTATTTAAACATGATAATGCATCATTCATTATCCGATTTTCCAATAATTAAACACCAAACAATTATAACAATATATTCAAAAATCTTTCTTTACATGTTATCAAATCAGGCTTGATTTTTAATTTTGTGTCATTTCATGTAATATGCTTCTGAGGTAATAAATCAACATAAATATTGTCATATATTAAGTCTTAATTGTATGAATAATAAGAAATCAACTTATATCGATCTTTATGAATTATATCAATTTGTGTGAAAATAATCTAAAATGATCAGTAAATCCACAAGGACCATATATTTTGATTAAATATGCACTAATGAAATGAGGATTCAATAATTATATTTGAACTTCACAATAAATTTTTTTTTTTTTTTATAAAAAAAAAAGAGTAAGAAAAAAGCACTCTTAAAACTAATGGAAGAACGTACAAAAGGATTTTTTTTAATAATTAACTAACTTGATAGATGTATAAATTACTTTGTTTAATGAAACATTCACAACTTAAATTTTATTGAAACAAACTATACGAATCAATAAATATCTAATGGTACGGTATAACTAAACTCACTATTTAACAACACTAGTGTGATTTGCTATTCATATAAATAACTTACAAATAGGGGCACTAGTATAAAACTAACCTCAAGTAACACCCAAAAAGTGTTACATAAAGTGTTAAAAGTGTTACTATAGACAATAGGTAACAGTTTATTGGGTAATACTTCCGCCCATGTTACCTAAGGTCTTATGTAACACTTTGAGTAACGTATGGTAACACTTTCAGAAGTGTTACCATAAACCCTCTTATGTATCACTTATTATATCATTTGTATCATTTTTAAAGTGTTACTTCTTATTTCTTAAGTAACATTTACTTATCTTTAGTAACATTTTTCAATCATATAGTATCACTTTTTCAACATTATGTATCACTTTGTCAAACTAATATAACACTATGTTCATTATTAGGTAACATTTTTCGATCTTCTTTTGACATTTAATAGCACTTTATTTGACATTATGTATCACTTTTTGCAAACTAATGTAACACTATATTAATGAATAGGTAACATTTATTATTATTATTATTATTATTATTATTATTATTATTACAATTATTGTTATTATTATTATTATTATTATTATTATTATTATTATTATTATTAAAATAACTTTAATATGTACAGCAACAAAAAAAATTTGAAATTTTAACACATGTAATAGTCAATAATTTGAATTGAAATAATTAATTTCATAGTTCTTACAAAAAACATCCATAAACACCAATTTTTTTATTCGCTAAACAATCTAATAATCAAAATAAAAAGAAAGTGAACTTTAGTCTCTTTTAGACCTTTAATCTCTAAAAAACAGTCAGCGCAGTTGCAGCAAACAATAGTAACAATAGCACATAGCAGCAGCTAGCTAGCTAGAAAAAACATTGGGAGTACTTGTGCTAACTGCAGCCGTAGTTGCAAGTGCGGCACTTATCACAGTGGAAAATCTATTTTTCTGAGTTTCAACAGCTATTCTGGGATAAGAGACCATTTTCGTGTCCACAAACTGGGATTGAACAACTGAACTAGACTCTACACGAACAATTTCTTCTGTGTTTGCAGCTAGCACTTCCTTCCCCCTGATTTTCTCCAGATTCTGCAGAGTACAGGAGCAAAATATCTAATTAATTCATTGTTAAAGGACATCATAATGCCATATGACACTCATTATGTTGGTAGTATTTTTTTATAGTATCAGCAGCAGATGTCTTTCTTTGATTGCAGCAACAATTTTCCATCTTAAAGAACTCTTCTACTGTCCTACACATACATACAGATATATAGATATATAAAATATGATAGATATGCTCTCATCAATCAACATCATCCCTGATCCAGCAAGTGCCATTTTGATTACAAAGATGATCAGATATCATCAATCATTCAGCATTATCCATATTTCAAAGCATAGTCCATAATTCATGGGCTCATCAAATTTACGCAAGGAAGTACCATCAAATTCTATAATTTACCCAACAGATGAATAGTGCACATATATTAAGATACACAAGGTCTTGATCTGATCTAAAGTGTCAAAATGTAGCTTCAGAGTATTCACATCTTTTATAACATGAGAAGCAGGCCCAAATTCAGGTATCAGGTTATCCAAGAGTACTGAACCAGCTTATAAAATTTACAAAGGCAGAAAGGTTTATATAATTAAATATGGTCTCAACCACTTAGAAAGACAAATACATATCAGGTAACACAAAAAAAAAAAACAAAAAAAAGGGTAACACAAAGCAATCTTATTCTGATATAACTGAGCAAAACAACAATTGTGAATTGTCATTACCATCAGACAAATAAAGACTTGAGCAAACCAAGATTGTAAACTCTCATTACCATCAGATCAATAAAGTAGGGGGTTATCACGCAATTCTAAACTCAACAGATATGTAAAAAGCTTCTAGACTACGTACATCCCGGCCTGATGGTTTTATTCTTGCCAATACTAAAGTCTGATAAGCTATAATCACGCAATGCAAAGATAAAAGTGCATTGAAATTGTGCCAATGGTAGAAATTTACCTTAGTGAATTGAAGCCGGCACAAGTCGCCTGCTGCCCAAGCACCTTAAAACCACTCAGCTCAAAACTGCCAAATGTAAACTTTGTCACTATATAAAATATGAGACCTTGAAAATTTGACTTGCAAAATAGAGGTCAGAGTAAATTTTGTTACACTACACTTAACCACTAACTTACAAAAATCATAACATAACAAGTTCAAATAGAAAAATAAAAGAAAAAGAAAAAAAGCACTTATATAATAGTTCAGATTGCCCCTCGGCAGTTAAATGAACATGCTAGAAAATGGTAATTGTTTCCTATCAATGTAGGTAAGAAAGGAGATGATCTGAATGAGTACAACCTTAGTGGCCAAACCTGAAGGATGAAAGAAAGTCAAATGCTAGAGAGTGAGCTGTTGGGCATTACACAATCAGGTGACACTTTTTAGCTTATTATTAAATTGCATTGTTTTATTACTTTCTTAATATATGGCCAAAATTTCTAATCATGTTTGTAAGGTGTGTAGTAGCTAGTATTGTGATATTTTATCTGTATACTTTTCCCTGTGATATCTTCCTCTCAGTAACTTAAAGTTTCTTTATGAGTCCATGGAATTCTGGAAGAGAAAGGCCACTACCACCAAGACATTCCTATAGTTTAAAATCTGGAAAAGTCTTATTGAAATTTTGTTCGTACTTTATCAGAATATATATTTCTAACAAGTACAAGAAAATTATGTTATCACATATGTAGAAGATTGTAAAAGTAATTTCAAATAGTAGGCACATTGATAAGAATACCAATCTGAAACACCAATGTTGGCTAGAATCTGATTCACCTCTTCCCTAGTTCTACTTCATTCAAATGCTAGCTATAGCTAGGGTGGGGATTTAAGCTTGCAGCTGCTGCCTCGCCAAGACTGCTGAATTCATCGATCTAGTTCACATATATTTAGGAATTAAATCAACTATTTCTGTTAAAATTAACAACTTCACATCATTCTTAATGAATATTTGATGCTTTATAGGAAACTCAATAAAATTTAAGATCAATAATAAGATACATATAACATCGTTTAAACAAGAAAAGTTCATTAATATACAAAAACAAAATGCATAAAATCGTGAATAACAATAGATGTAAATTTCAATTTTAATTAGTTAAATAGAATCCAACCAACAATATAAACCCTATAAACTAGATTGTAATAATATAATTCACATGAAAATTAATGATAACTTAACCAAAAACGTTGAAAATCCACCAAAATTAACAGAATACCTGATTGGAAGCGAAAATTAGATGAAATCAGAGATGAATAATTCAACTGGATTTGTGATTTTGTGACAATTGAAACCCCAGATGGCGAATTTGTGACGAATGAAACCCTAGATGACAAATTGAACGAAAAATACTGATTTTGTGATGAATTTCGCAAGGCAACAACGAATTGATGAACTGTATAACCAAAGATATAATGAAGTAATGAGCACCGTAGTAGTACCGTATGCTATTATTCCTTCGCTCTCGAACTCTCGATTCATTTGATGATGTTGCCTGTGATTCAGATGATGGTATTTATCGATGATGATGATTGATTCAGGGGATGACGCTGTTAATAATGAAGGCGACTCCATTGATTGTATAATCTAAACTCATTCAGAGAGAGAATGGGTATTTGAGCAAGAATGAGAGGAGGAGATAGATTAGAATGAGATGTTCAAAAAAATGAAAAATAAAGGGTACCGCTCATTTTTTTCTACAATGAGATTAGAAGAAAAAAAATATTTAATAAGGAAAAAAAATAAAAAGGATTGAGCATAAATTAAGTGTTACAACTTAGTGATACCTAATATAGGATTTTTTACGAAAGTAAGCCTTATTAGTAAACTATTTACCAATCTAGACGCATGGCCAAACTATTTACGAAACTGAGCTTCTGACATAAAACGCTGCCTCGGTCAGCGTTTTACCTTTGGTTATTATTTTTTTTTATAAAATTTTGTATTATGTGAAATACAAATTTTTAAAAAAAAATTGGAAATACAGTAAAACGCTGACTCAGTCAGCGTTTTACTTGTATACATAACAGAGAAAAACGCTGACTGAGTCAGCGTTTTACACCTAAGCATAAAACGCTGCCTCAGTCAGCGTTTTATCTGCTGGCTGAAGGCAGCAACAGCAGGCCCCCAACAGCAGCCAGTGCAGCCCCCTTCCACATCCACCAACACCACCACCCTCCTCCTCCACATCCTCCACCACCCTCCTCCTCCACATCCACCACCACCATCACCCTCCTCCTCCACATCCACCACCACCACCACCACCCTCCTCCTCCACATCCACCACCACCATCACCCTCCTCCACATCCACCACCCTCCTCCTCCAAATCCACCACATCCACCACCCTCCTCCTCCACATCCACCACCACCATCACCCTCCTCCACATCCACCACCCTCCTCCTCCAAATCCACCACATCCACCACCCTCCTCCTCCACATCCACCACCACCACCACCTCCTCCTCCACATCCACCACCACCATCACCCTCCTCCTCCACATCCTCCAACACCTCCACCACCCTCCTCCTCCACATCCACCACCTCCACCACCCATCCTCCTCCACATCCACCACCTCCACATCCACAATTTATTTTGAACGAAATGAGTCAAACGTGGACAAATAAGGAATTTGAAATTCAAACAAGACATAAATTCATTCAAATAATTATTAAAATAATAATGTAATGTAAGTGTTATGTACAACAAACTAGAGAAGGTCATTACAACAAATAAATCAGATAATTCTATCCTATTCTGACTCATCAATTTGGTGTAACGGCTCTCTATCCTGTATGTCCACTCTCGGCCTTTGACGACGGCTGTAGTGACGGACCGTGGTAAATGGGTTCGGGCGTACTGGCGGAGTCAGCTGGCTAGAAGATGGGTCATCAGGATGACGTAGGGGCGCGGAACTGCGAATGTCGTACTCCTCTGCGCCCGTGAATGACGAAGGATCACCCCCACAACTACTCTGGCCAGCCTCGAACTGTGAGTGACTAGAGTGGCCGCCATGATCGTCCCGGGGGTGGAAGAGATAGGCGTGACCATATCTCTGCAAGGTAGCCATGCCCATATCTCGCACCCGCTCGACCTGTGCTCTGGGCGGCTCAGGTATGCCTGGAAGGACGTCCGACAGTGCGTCAACCATCGCCGTCATATCCAACGCCTGTAGTAATTAAGGATGAGTTAGTTGAATGATATACAAATTTAAAATTGATAAAGATAAGTTAATCAAATACACTTACATATCCCCTGATCACGTCAAAGGATGGATGGTAATGTGCGGATGGCGGTGTGTAGCTGGGGTTGATGAAACGCCGTGTAATCCGCATGTACCACTCCATGTATGGATCGTATGGATCCATAACGCCGTGGATGGGGTCACCAGTGACGACGAACTCCAACCGTCGATGCCACAAGTCAATGTACTGGGCATGCTCCGTCCGCCAGTTCCTGTCGCTCTTTCCCCGACGGTCAATGCGGTGCAGCCGGGCACTAGTGTGACACTGTTGGGGGACAGTCTGTCGTAGTCCAAACTGTCGCATGACTCGATCTGGTAGGTGACCCTCGACGACCTCAAAACAGATCAGGGGGACCCTAGAACGCCACTGCGCCTGATGATCTAGCAGATGTGGAGGCATGGCAGCAACTAAATCAGCTTCATACGGGTCCCATGTCATCTGCGATAACACATAAAAAGTAACATAATAAAAAGGTTAGTGCATATTAAATATGTTAAGAGTATACATAATAAATAACAATTTCATAAACAAATTAAAGATTTCATCTGATCCTCGGTCAGTCGATCAAGGGCGTCTCGGTAGTACGGCAGGCCTCTCGCCGCATGCGCATATGTCAGCTTGGGGACCGCCCATCTGCAAGCGTACGCCTCGTCAGCGGAAGGCCGTGGTGGAGGAATGTACCGCTCATACTGCTGGTCCTGATCCTGCTGCCCCTGACGATGTATAGCAGGCCTACCTGGCCTGCCAACATGGATGTGCTCCCAAGACAAATACTGGACATCAAACACACAAAACTAGGTTAATTGTAAACTAAGTAAGAACTTTCTGAATTAAATTGTTAACAGATAAGTAGGTTACCTGAAGCAAAAATAACGGTCCGCTGATCTTACGAGAACCCCGGCGGGATGCTCTACACAGATGGCGATACAACATCGCCAGACAAGCACTGCCCCAGCTGTAGCCACGAATATGCTCCCAGTCGTGGTCTAACAGCTGCAGGTAAATGATCTGTAAATGGCTGCCACTCTTGCCACCGAACAACACACCCGAGATGAGCAGAAAAAGGTACGCTCGAGCATGTCTCGCAGTAGTGGCCTCATCAGCACCATCAGGCAACACACGAAAAGTGTCGCGTATCCAGCCGGTCCTCAATCCGCCGCCCCTGATATCGTCCGGTCCTGGCTGAACCCCGAGAACCTGAGCTACATAAACGAGGGGATCGGCCAACGCAGATCCAGACACCGGACTCCCATGAATGGGAAGCCGTGTGAGTATCACCACGTCTCGCAACGTCACGGTCGCTTCCCCAACAGGTAGATGGAAGGAGTGCGTCTCCTGCCTCCATCTCTCCACAAGCGTAGTAACAAGCGCTGGGTCGACCTCTCTGAACGCCATCCGATGTATACCCATGAAACTACCGTACTCCACGAAAGGCAGAATGCGGGGATCGATAACCCAATCGCCAAGGAACGCAACAGTGTAGTGCCTGCATGTCAGTATGCCCGCCGGATCAACCGACTGACTCCAAATGTCAACGCTACGATGTGTGTCATGTAGTGTAAGGACAGAAGGGTCTGTGGGTCCGGGTGTCCTATCTCGGGTGTCCATGGTATCTGTTCATAAACAGTTATAATCCAACAATTATAAAGTAAAAATTACATATAAGCGATAACAAAATACAGAATTTCAAATCTCATACTTCAATCTAAAAATCCAACTGTTACAATCATTTGCGTAGGCCTCTGATTGCAGTACCCGGTCCACCCATGGCCGCTTTGATATCGAATACTTCACACAAACTGCTAGAACATGAGAACATGGGAGGTGGAAGATCCGTGGTTTATTGCATGTGCACGTTCTTAACTGAAAGTTAACAGTATGTCTATGGCCTCCTTTTCTACTAATTGTATCTCCCCTCTTTGTTTCAACTTGATATATATGCAGTCGACGGTTATACGCTTCCAGTTTGTGACATCTAGCCTTTGCAATGTTTTTCTCCATAATGGATGTGACTTTGGGGGAGTATGCAAGTCCCTGTTCAGATCTAGTCTGAGATAATTCCCTTCTATCAGTGAAATACTTATTGACTATGTGGAATGTTAATTCCACAAGGGACATGATAGGTAGAAATCGAGCACCCTTCAACACATTGTTAAATGTTTCTGAGAAGTTCGTAGTACATATCCCATATCTGCGACCAGCATCGTGAAACAAAGACCACATAGGCAAGGGCACTTGGACAATATACTGTATGGCCTTGGTACACGCCTGACCGATCAAACTCATATCAGCTACCAGTTTTCTTTCCTGCCTTTGGTACGCAGCATCCTTGAACATATCTCTCATGTCGTTTCTTTGCACGTGAGTCTTCAAGTTAGAAGCCAAGTGCCGAACACAAAACCTGTGATAGGCTCGCGGCTCGGTGAATCCAACGTTAGGGTCATTCATTGCTGCAATGATCCCAGCATGTCGATCAGATATAACACAGAGGCCATCCCGTTGAGTGACATGAACCCGAATGCAGCCCAGAAACCAAGACCAGCTGGAAATGTTTTCCCCTTCGACTAACGCAAATGCAAGCGGAAATACTTGGAAGTTTGCATCCACACCTGTAGCAACCAACAATGTTCCTTTAAATTTCCCGTACAAATGCGTCCCATCGATACAGATGACAGACATACAATGTTTAAAACCTTCAACACAAGGGCCGAAGGCCCAAAATACTCGTTCAAACACTTCCATGTTGCTGTAATAAACATCGTCTACCAGAGCTTTGTGTTTCCATACAACAACGGTTCCCGGGTTTGACTGTTTGAGTGCTTCCATGAAGTGCGGAAGTCGGCCATAAGAACTCTCCCAATCTCCAAATACTTCAGCTATGGCTTTCTCCCTAGCATACCATGCTCTTCGATAAGTAACGTTGAACTGAAAATGCTTGGATATGAGTTCCTATATAAATTCAACTTTCAAGCATGGATCTTTCTGCACAAAAAACTTCACAAAATCGGAAATTAAGGATGAATCCAAGTGTGCATGATCCGTAGATAACACTTCAGTGACACAGGTGTCCCGGTGCGGGCCTTTGTATGCGACTATGGTAAAGGTATCTGAGTGCTCACTTTTTTTGGTGCCTCGTAGCGACCAACCACAATTCTTCTTGCACCGTAGATGAAGGACCTTCTCATTCGAGGTCACTGTGGTGTAGAATTGGTTCCTTTGTATAGAATACTTCTTCACCATTTCCTGAAGCAGTTTCTTAGATTCAAAGAACATACCCTTCTCAAACTCCCCCCCGATCACAAATGTTGTATGACTACCTGATTCGGCCCAATATTGATCAACCTCATAATTCTCATTTACTTGACTTAACCAAGGAATAGGAGTTCTAACCATGGCCTCCCCACCTTCCATGTCTGTAGAATCAACATCCATGTTATCCATAATTGGTTCCTCCTCTTCGCTCTCAGCCTCATCATTTGTTTCCCGGAGCGCATCATACAGAGACAACTCGTTATTCACCATATGTTGTAGATTTTCAAGATGATTCACCAATGGTTGAGACGGTGATGTATGATCATCATGCTGCGTAGGTGAATAACTTTGGAGTTG